GTTTGTCTAGACCAGGGGTCGGCAACCCGCGGCTCCGGAGCCGCATGCGGCTCTTGAGTGCTCCTGGAGTGGCTCCTGGAGCCTTTTCAAACATGTCTGAAAATGGAGTGTGAGGGCTATATTTTATTTCTAGTTTGAATGTGGTTTCTGTAGAAGGAAACACAATCTTTACGTTTTTAAATGCTGTAAAAATGTGTATAAGTAATATTTAATTTCAACATTTCTGTCAACGTAGTGCGTCATATCCTATGACACGCGGTCACGCGGCCCCGCCCCATGCGGCCGCTGTTGTAAACAAACCGGCGTGTGTGCATAAGTGAACATGGATCCCAAAGCTAAAACGAGAAAGAGTCGATAACAAGACTGGACTAAGAATGAGAATGAACATTTTATTTCAGTCAATGAGGAAGGACTGCTTCATGTTTGTAATGAGAAGTTTTGTTGCAACACGAGGAACAATGACGCGAAAAACACCGTACACAGTGATTACGTGAAGGATTCATTCATCAAAAATTCAGAGCACCTATTTTCAGACTTCAAAACCTTCTCAAAGGCGGTGAAAGAAAAGGCCATTAAGGATTTTAATTCAGCTCCAGCAAACTTCAGCCTGTGACGTGATGGATATGAGCAGACAGTGATGCAGGTATGTGACCTCTGAGCCCAAAGCAGATTGATTTACTGTATTTCTATAATTGCATGAAGGCAAAAAAATGGAAGTTAAACTAAAGCAGAGTTGTCACGTGTTGCGTCATTCACGACACGCGTGGTGCGACACGCTGCAGTGAAAATACACATTTGATAATCATGAATGATTATTATGTATTTGTAGCCTTTACTTTGTCATTTAGATATTAGGCTAATATAGCTAATACATCTTGCAGCCTGTGTTAACTTCATAAAAGCCTTATACAAGGCTGTTATTTTTTTGCGGCTCCAGACAGATGTTGTTTTTAGTTTTTTTTGTCAATTATGGCTCTTTGAACATTTTGGGTTCCCGACCCCTGGTCTAGACCACTGTGGGGATTTCTAACCAAATCAATATATTCGAATTAACATAATTTCCGGACTATAAGCCGCGGCTTTTTTCTAGTTGTCTGAACCCTTAAATAGCGATGCAGCTAATATATATATTATATACATTTATTTTCATTCTAGTAAAGTCAGGCTGTTGTCAGAGCAGAGTGTATGGACTGCATCAAGTTTTAGTAGCTACAGTATATGTTTAGCTATAGTTTATTGTCCAAACAGATGAAGGTGAATGAGTCGTGGAAGCTAACGGTTAAGCTAACACCTCGTCCTTAAATCATGTTGTGTCCAGTTTAAAATTGTGGACAAAACTTAATGTATTTTGAAATGTTGCTGGTGCGGTTTATTGTCCAGAGAGTTTGGTGTAATAGATAGACAGAAACACAACTTCTTTGGCTACTCACAGATCTGTAAAAATGAAATTTAAGATTATACATTTCAACAGTAGGAGCATGTACAAAAACTTTAGTAGCATCAAGGAATATCTTGATACATTTAGAGTGCCTTTTAGTATCATAACACTATCAGAAACATGGATGAACAATGAAAAAGGGACAGATTTTTACTTTGAAGGCTATGAACTCAATTATAGAAATAGGAAAAACAAAACAGGAGGAGGTGTGGCTATTTATGTAAACAAGAACTTAAAATTTAAAATTGTTGAAAATATGTCTGTTGCAGTTGATGGGCTATTTGAATGTATTACTATTGAGCTAATTTGCAGAAGGAGAAAAAACATAGTAGTAAGCTGCCTATATAGAACACCAGGTTCAAGTATAGAACATTTTATGGGGCACATAGAAAAAATATTTTTGGACACAAATAAATCAATGTATATTACAGGAGATTTCAACATAGATCTTATGAATCCCAATGGACATAAAAACACGGATGAATTTATTAACCTTATGTATAGTATGAGCTTATTTCCTGCAATCACCAGGCCGAGTAGAATCACTTCACAGAGTGCTACACTCATTGATAATATCTTCACCAATGATATTGATTTATTGAAATTAAGTGGACTAATGATCTGTGATATAACTGACCATCTACCTGTTTTTACTATATGTTCCCATAAGAATACGAAGAGCACAAACACTCAGAATGATGTTTACAAAAGAGTGCTATCTGAAAATAGTATTGAAGAATTGAAATGTGACTTGGCAAGTCAAAACTGGAGTGGTGTACTAAATGAAAGGAATGTTGATGAAGCTTATAACATGTTTCTTGATATATTTTGTAACCTTTATGATAAAAATTGCCCTGTGAGAAGATACAAGAGAAAGAACAAAACTGTCAAATGTCCCTGGATGACCCGGGGATTACAAAATGCTTGTAAAAAAAAAAATAACTTGTATAAACAGTTCTTGAAAGCAAAAACCATGGAAGCTGAAAATAAATATAAGGTATATAAAAATAGGTTGACTACAATACTAAGAGCGAGTAGGAAACTGTATTTTGAAAAGTTATTAAATCAAAACAAAAACAACATCAAAGGAATATGGAATGTGATTAATGGCTTACTTAAAGATGAGGCCAATATCACAGATAACTACCCAGAGTATTTTATTGATGGTAATGACGAGATTTACAATAGGCAAAATGTGGTAAACAAATTTAATGAGTTTTTTGTAAAGGTGGGACCAGACTTAGCCGCTGGAATCCCTGAAAATGAAGGAGACCCATCACTAATTGAAAGAAATCAAAAAAGTATCTTTCTCTCAGGTGTAAATGAAACTGAAATCAAAGACATTGTTTGTAAGTGTAAAAATAAGTGCTCCACTGACTGTTTCGATATTGACATGAGATTAATTAAAAAAGTCATAGATTGCATAACAAAACCATTAACTTATATTTGTAACATTTCACTGCAAAATGGGTTATTTCCAAACAAAATGAAAACAGCTAAGGTAATTCCAATTTTTAAGTCTGGTAACAAGCACATCTTTACTAACTATAGACCTGTCTCTCTCCTTCCACAGTTTTCAAAGATCCTTGAGAAAGTTTTCAATGATAGACTTGAAAATTTCATTGAAAAACACTGCCTGATAAATGACGGACAATATGGGTTTAGACCTGGAAGATCGACCTCTATGGCCATTATTGATGCTGTAGAGGAAATTTCACGTTCATTGGATAAGAAAAAAATAGCCGTTGGAGTTTTTATTGACTTGAAAAAAGCGTTTGATACGATTAATCATACAATCTTACTTGAAAAACTAGAGAAATATGGGATCCGAGGGGTAGCAGGGGAGTGGATTAAAAGTTATCTAACTGAGAGACAGCAGTTTGTAAAGATGGGTAAGTACCAATCTACATGCAAAACTATCACATGTGGACTGCCACAAGGTTCCATATTGGGGCCGAAATTATTCAATTTGTATATCAATGACATCTTCAATGTATCTGTACTACTGAAACTGATTTTATTTGCTGACGACACTAACATTTTCTATGCAGATGATTGTTATGATGACGCTATAAACACTATTAATGAGGAATTGGCAAAAATTAAAACATGGATGAATAATAATAAGCTATCACTTAACCTTGAAAAAACGAAAGTAATTATATTTGGTAACTGCAAGGAAAACCCAAATATATCCATAACTATTGATGGTAAAGAATACAAAAGGTAACAGAAATCAAATTTTTGGGAATAATAATCGACAAAAACTTAAACTGGAGATCTCACATTAATTACATACAAAAGAAAGTATCGAAAAATATAGCTATTATAAATAAAGCAAAGTGGGTACTCAACTATAACGCCTTGTACATCCTATACTTTAGTTTAGTTTATCCTTATTTATCATATGTTGTAGAAGTTTGGGGAAACAATTATAAAACTGCCATAAGAACATTGGAATTACTTCAAAAGCGAGCAGTACGAGTTATCCACAAGACGAGTTACCTGGAACACACACATTCACTCTTCTTACAGTCTAAATTATTGAAATTTGTGGATTTGGTGGATTTTTGCACAGCTCAATTGCTTTACAAAGCCAGTAAAAAATCTCTGCCGACCAACATTCAATCTCAATTTATAGAAAGAGAAGATGGCCGTAATCTCAGGGGAAATGGTAAACTTATACCAAATGCTGTAAGAACCACGAGGAGAAGTATGTGTGTCTCAGTGTGCGGTGTGCGACTGTGGAATAAATTGGATTGGAAGTTAAAACAATGTCCCACCATATACCATTTTAAAGTCAAATATAAAGAAAAACTTTTACAACAGTACAGTACACAGTGAAAATCCTTACTATAGTCATATAGTAGCAACACCATCATACATCATTTACTCACAATAACAGTATTACGGAACTAAGGGTTGCAGTGTATGTTGATTCTTTACTAAATCATGTAGTATTTGTATTTTATTAAGTGTCAAAATCTGCAAAACACAATCTTGAGTCTGTACATGAACAGAGTATAAGTTATTGAATTAAAAGCTATGCATGAGTTATAGAATTATTGATGTATATAATAAAGGTTAAGCTACTACACAAACAACATAAGCAACCACCAAACATTTATGCACTGGGGGTGGGATTTAAAAAGTATTTACTTCTTCCCACTCCCTTTCGAACTTTCTTGTTGTCATTTTTTTTTTTTTTTGTATCTTGTATTAGTTTTGTTTTTTTGCAATTTTGTATTGCTTCTCATATTTTGTATTTATTATTGTTTTTTCTTTTCCTTGTTTTTTCGAATGAGAATAGAAGTACAGAGTGTACAAAGTTTATTTTTTTATGCATTATGAAATGACATGGCATTTGGATTGACAACAAAGTTCGAAATAAAAAGATTGATTGATTGATTGATTGAAGTTAGATTTAGTGACACCAGAACTGTCCAAATGTGTGCTTTTTGACCAATTCTTTTGAGTTTGCCTCTATCTCCCCCAGAGTATTTACTTCATAAAAACACTGGGCATCGAACCAAGTCCACGCTGCAGTAGAGTCAGTACTTACGGGTGCAGGGCATAGAGGCCGGGTCCGTCTCGGAGCGGAAAAATCCTTTGTCACAGACGCAGGAGGTGGATCCTTCTCTGGTGGAGTAACTGTGCAGCGGACACTTCATGCAGAGGCCGTCCGACGCCAGTGCTCGGTAATATCCAATTTTACACGCTGAAAAAGAGGGAGAATGCAGAAGGTTAGATTTCCCAGTCGTTGTTACCAAAGCTTGATTCCACGACAAAAGGTCAGACACAGGAATGTTAGTACGGCACTGAGGATTTAAAACATTAAATTCAGACAAAAAGAAAGGGAAAGCATTTCTAAAACTGTTCCAGAAAGAGTCCAGCTTTGTCATAATTATGATTTGTTTGCAATATTTGTTCAAGAATGTCTGAAGTATCGATAAAACCTTTAGAATAGACTTTTAACATCAACGCTCACTTCAGGTTTATCAATTTATGTGTTTATCTATTTTTACTAACTATAACCATCACCATCAAAGCAAGTCTGTCCTATAATAATATTGTCCTCTATGCATTCTATTTATTTACAAGGACAAAGCATAGGTCAATATCTACAATAGACTATACTATGTCCCAGAGGTGTGGACTCGAGTCATGTGACTTGGACTCGAGTCAGACTCGAGTCATGATTTTGATGACTTTAGACTCGACTTGACCAAATATAAAAAGACTTGCAACTCGACTTGGACTTTAACATCAATGACTCTGACTTTCACTTGGACTTGCGCCAATTGACTTGCAAAGACTTGCGTAACCCGGGCCATTTTTACCTTTCTCCGCATCTCTCTTTCTATCTATGCCGTCTCTGAAGAAACAAAGCCTCGCGGTAGTTGTAGCGCTCGCGCGAGAGTTCGAACGTGAGTTTCCCGCAGTTCGCGCAGCAACACTTCCCTAAACAAGCGGACTGCATTCACCGGTGGGTGTGTTGTCTAGGGGAGCTGGAAATGAGCGAGCTGCAGGTATTTATCGCGACCTAACGTCATATTTTGTTCTACAAACCGTAATTGATATGCTTTCACTACAGGCGCCTCATACAATTGAATCGACGCAGTTGTCACACTGTGTGCCGTGTTTTAAAGAGGAACTGGTGAGTCAAACTAGCGCTAGCCTGCGCTGCTCTGTTAGCTCTTTCTTATATTTTTCTGTGTGGGCGCCGAGGCCTATTATTATGAGTATGTTTTTGCTGTGCTCCTCCTGCAAAAGTTTGCATACATTAGATAGTTGTTTTGATTATGTGCACTAAGCTAGATTAATATTTGCACTATTGTTTATGGTTCATTGATATGAGAATCAGTACTTTGACTGATTGAATTAATTTATATGAGACATTTTATTATGTAATGATATATTGGTAATTATGAGATATTACTAATGCTGGCCCAGTTCATACAGGCCAGGTTCCTTCCCCTCCATTGGTCCCTTCAGTCCTTTGGAACAATAACCACTATGGACATTAAACTGATTATATAGATACAGGTCCTAGCCCAATACTCATATTCATATATGCTGCACTTGCTACTTCCCATTAAAAACCCCAAAGATAAAAAGTATGTTGACACGGACTGCTCTGATTTTATGTGTGGTCTGTGCATGTGTAACTGAGCCTGCATCTGGCACAACATAGTTTTGATTTATCAGCAGCCAACCACATGGAACAAACTGTTAGTCCATGGGTCAGAGACCAACGAGAATGCACCAGCAAAATGATTCCTAACATTATTTTGTTTGCCTACAAAAGTACGTGGAGACCAACAAGAAACAAATCGCGGTCAAAAAGACTCGAGAGGACTCGAAAGTCAAACCGTAGGACTTGGGACTGACTTGAGATTTGTTGGCCTTTGACTTGGACTCGACTCGGGACTTGCCTGTCTTGACTCGTGACTTGACTCGGGACTTGAGGGCAATGAATTGAGACTGACTTGTGACTTGCTAAACAATGACTTTGTCCCACCTCTGCTATGTCCAATGCAGGTATTTCTTTTCTATTTTATGTATTTATATTACAAACTTTTTCTATGTTAACTATAAAACCTATTAATACTAAATAAAAAGGTCCAGTGGCTCTCGTTCACTCTCTCATGCCGTTTTGGCTTATTTTTATCCAAAGTCAGCTCAAAACAAGAGAAATGTCCCCAAATTCTTATTTAATATTTGTATTCCCATTATTTATTATTATATATAATTTTTTTTCCAATCTTTTTGTAATCATTTTTTTTTAAAATAGATGTTGCTTTGTTATGTTTTTTAATTATGAAAACTTGACCAATGGAACTCTAAAGGCAAAAACCAATGATCTAGTCCCTTTTTTCTTTGCAAATACCTTAAATAACGGCGGTCTTTGCTAATTATGAGCACAAAAACAGCTAATTCGATTCGAGAGTGAAAAACCATGCGGGCCGAGCTTTAAACCAAGTTGGACTTTGCCTTCGAGACATTCACAGACGTTCTACTATTCCCCACAAATGTCCTGAAGGTCATAAAAACAAATATTTATGGTCCGTCGGCGAGACCGGGACGAGAATCCAAACCGCTGCCCTTTCAAACCACTTAACAAACAAATGTCACTTTGCTTGGCAACCTCTGCTCTCTGCTCCATTTTAATTTCCACAACCCTCCTCCAACCCAGGCCGTGCCAAACCAAACTAAGTGATTCTTGTAGTACTTTGGCTTGTGTGCTTTTGACTGACGGCTTGATTGCGCGGATCGCCTTACGGGGGGTTTTCTCTCTGGCCTGTGTGAGTGTAATGGCCGCTGTCGGGCTGCGGAGGCTACGATTTCAATCCCGAAAAGACGCCAACAATGAGACGATTCTTTGGAAGGCGAAGGGGAGACAGACGAGGCCGTGATTGGACAGATTCAACTGTCAATCGATGGGTGTGGGCCAATCAGGTGGAGGTGGAGGTGGAGGGTTAGCAATGGGAGCTATCTATGGAGGTCAAATGGTTCCAGTCGTGTGTGCAGGATACGGGTGACTTGGCGATTGCGATAGTGGAAATGTGTTGTCAGAAAGTGCATTGTTTTAGTAGGAATTTATCCACAAATGCATTTTCAAACCAAATATAAAAGAGATTTGTTGTTCTTAGGTTGGCACGGCATATTTTTGATACTTTCTATATCTTTGCAGTGCCTTTCTCATTTCAGAACTTGTTTTTGCCAATAGGGAACAATGACTTGTACCTCGTCTGAAGAAATATTTTTTTAATGATTCATTCTTGGTCACAAAAGCGAGTCAAATCAAGTATTTTTTTGGCAATGGGAGCTATCTATCGGGGTCAAATGGTTCCAGTTGAGTGTGCAGGATACGGGTGACTTGGCGATCGCAATAGTGGAAATATCTTGTCAAAAAGTGAATTGTTTTGGTAGGAATTCATCCACAAATGCATTTTCAAACCAAATATAAAAGAGATTTGTTACTCTTAGGTTGGCAAGGCATAATTTTGATTGGTAAAAATAAAATTCAGGGTCCATTTTCTGTGGTGTGGTGCTTGATTAATGTGTAAGCCGATTTAAGACCCGATTTACCGCTAACGACAATCTTAAAAACGCTACGATTTTCGTTTAAAAAAATTGCCATGTGGCTGTGCACCACACACTGTACGATCAAAGTGGTTAGACTTGATTTTTTATCTCCGTGTGTGGGGTCTGTCAGGTTAGGAAAATCGGCCGACAATTTTAAAATGGTCTTGTGTGAACCAGGCTTAACGGGGCTCTTTTTTACAAATATGCAAAAGATGAAAACATCCCGGCTCAATCTTGTTCAGAATTTGTCCAGTACTTCAACCCAATTATTGAAAGAACTGGCAATGTATTGTTCTGCTTCAAGTTTGTTGGAGCGGATCAGAATCGTCCTCAAATTTGGCTCTTTCTTACAAGTATGCAACAGATAAGATAAGTCTCTGTTGAAACGAATCAAAAAACATGTTATTTATGACTAAAGAAGCTAGCGACCCCAACTTGAATGGCTCAACCTGATCCAGAATGTGTCCAGGACATTACTATTACATATTTACAGTCCGAATGATTTGCCAATGATTGAACCTACCGCTGTATTGTTCTACTACAAGACTATTCTAACAGGTCAGAATTGCGTCAGAAGAATTGCGCCATGGAAAGAGCTCTGGTGTGTACTATCCCAATGTGGTTTTACTGCAAATGGCAAATCAATTCTTGTATCTTGTATCTTGAATTCTCCTCTAACGTATATATAAGTTGTTACTATCAAGATTTGAATCAAACCTAGGCAAAGAGACTTGAATCTCAGTGACCGATATGAATCCAAGTCATTTTCTATGACGTGTGATAAGGGAGTCCTCCATAAACTAACCCCATCAGTCAAAACCAACCACTTTCACACACAATCTCCCAATAAACGCCGCGGCTTTCACACTTGTGCCCGCCACGCTCCCATAGACAAACAACAGAGGAACCCACACGACTGTAAAAACTCTGGGAATTCCCTTTTCTTCTTCCCCCGTTAGCGTCCGACGGTGATAAAGTTTCGCTCTGGAGACTGAAGCTGGATTAGCGCTGGAGCTAGCTGTGACCCGCTGAGCCTTTCTCCTTTCCCCAGACCCCAATCCATCAATCAGATAGAGCGACGCAGATCCGGCAGGCTTCTATACTCAGGCAAACGCTTAAGCTAAAGGGTCTCTTTGATTGGAGACTACAGGGGAGCGGGAAGCCTTAGAAGAAAAGAGATTATAGCCAGGAGGCGCTTTGTGCTATCTCTCAATCTACCCAGCAATCAGCGGATGCATTTAGGATGAGTAGAGGCAGTTTTGGACCAGTTTATGACTCTTTACTTTGTTGTTTTTGAGAGTTTTGTAGAGTTTTTGACAAATTCCACAGTAAAAAATTATTAAGTGAAATGGGTGAATTATTGTTATTTTTGTGAGTGTAGTTGACTGTTGTGGAATAAGATTTGTCAATGGAAAAAACAAACATTTCTCCAAAAAATTGCTTCTAACATTTAAATTTTAATGCAAAAAAAGAAAAAAAAGAAAATCGTGTCTTACTTTCAATGTCTTTGCAGTGTGTTTATTATTTCAGAATAACTTTTTTGCCAATGGGGAACTAATGTCAAATTACTAATACCACGTTG